CATCATTTAGTATAGTTTTCTATTGCATATCAACTATTTTATAGTCCAAATAGTCCTATTTGCATTCATAGTAAAGTTAGTAAGCATTAAGATTAGGAATGCATGTTTTGTTGTATTTGGAGTGTATTTCAGGTACTATGGAGCTTTGGAGACTTTCTGATCAGGTGGAGTTCATGTTGATGGATGGAAAAGAGCAAAAGGAAGAGTAGCAAGAAGAGTGACTTGCACCAGGCAGTGCACCGACATCTACACCTCGGTGTAAATAAACTCCTGACTTTAAGAAGTTGCACCGGGCACTCACACCGGCATCTACACTTCGGTGGAAATAACCTGGAGATTTCGAGGAGTTACACCAGGCACTCACACCGGCGTCTACACCTCGGTAGGAATCAACCCGAGACTTCAAGAATCTGCACCGGGCACATGCACCGGCTTCTACTCCCTAGTGTGACACTGGCAATCTCTTTCCTTTAGTTTTTCTCTGGTTTTGATTTAGGTCAACTTCCTAGTTTTGAACATTGACCAAGCCTTAATCCTTTGACTATTTAAGCAAACCTTATAAACAATTGATATTATCTATCATTATTATCTTTTATGATTTTCAGATCTAAACGCTCTCTCTCTCTCTCTCTCTCTCTCTCTCTCTCTCTCTCTCTCTCTCTCTCTCTCTCTCTCTCTCTCTCTCTCTCTCTTGTTCTTCAGCTTTTACCCAGAATTCTTAGTGTTTGTAAGCAATATTTTGGGTTTCTATTAAGAGTTTGCATTTTCTGCTTTTGATCAGCATTCTACTACTTTTAATTATGTTCTCTGTTTATGAATCTATGAATTTTGCTAGGTTATCTATGTCTTTTGAGTAGTTTTCTTAGAGTTCTTAGGATTGGTTAGATCCATGATGATTTAGTGGTTGATCATTGATGTTTAGTGCTTAATATGATTGATCTTTTCCTTCTTGATGTTTTTAATGCTTGATCCTTACAAATCACTAGGATTTCGAATCTAGACTTTCACTCCACCAAAAGTGTTTGATGAAATGCATGAACCAATCATTTAGAAGATTTACTTATCCTTACACATGAGAATGGTTGACTAGGGAGTATTTTGGCTTGAAATAACTGATGTTTAATGCTTGTTAATTTCTTGATCACTAATGAGAATTAGCTTTGGTTAAGTTGTTAGTAAAGAGATATTTGTCAAGAGATTGGACAGGTCTTCATGTTTAGAGTTCTATGCTGAAGGATTAGCCTCATTGGTTGAGTTTGCACATCAAGGATTGACTGCTATTTGATTGTCAGATCAATAACCCCATCCTAAGACACCTGCTTGTTTAATCTCGAATTTCCCTTGTTTTTGCTCTGTTTCTTGAGTTTAAATTGCTTAGTTACTTGCTTTGCACTCCAGTCTATTGTCTTCTTTCACTTGTTTGATTGATCACTTAGGGTGTTCGACTTCTAAGCAACTTCTTTTACTTGGCTTAGCTTGCATTCATTCATGTATTCTCAATGATTCACATCCCTGAATGGATTGACACCTTAAGTGCTACAATGACATGATCATATAACTTGAGGAATTAAGGTAACGAGAGTGTGAAAACCCTTGTATCAGATAGCCCTTTTTTATTACCGACTAATCTTTTTTGCTTTTCTTCTGCAGTGATCGAGGTTCCTCCCATTGTTGGCGCTCTGATAAAGCAATTTAGCGTTATCCCTGCGGAGCATCGTTCAGAGGTGTTCCTTCTTTGCCCCTGATATCTCAGCTCCAGTTATCGTGTCTTACCCTCAGGCTCTCCTTTCCTAACACGGGGTAATTTCTAGGTCCTTCACTCGCTTTGCCTGGCAAGATGATCCTTGCCCTGATATTTGACTGATAGGCGCTTGATTTCAGTTTCTCCCGAACTTCAGGTAAACATGTACGACATAGAGCATATATCCTCGGATCGCTCATGAACCCCATCTCCTCTGATCCGTCGTAATTCTTCAAAGAGAGCTCTGCCGAGGGGGTCGGGAGAAGTCTCTGACTCCATACGTCCTGGAATAGCTCCGCACCTATATGTTGCGGGATCTTCGGTTGCCCACAACTTGCCTGGTAGTGGGGTACAAGCAAAAGAAACGGGAAGGAGCATGGGGTCGTCCTAAGGTCGCGGCCCACTGCTCTCTTTCTCCTTTTTCCATCCACAGACGACTCTTTTCCCAGGAATCCCCACCCACTAAGGACAAGGAGGAGTCTACTCGGTCTTTAGACTATGTGGTCTTTGAGGGCCTCCCCACAATGGAATCGTTTTCCTTGTAGCAGGCCTACAAGAGGAGCCTCGGGGATGGGGATGACCGTATTTCTCTTTTCCTCCATAATAAGGGTGCAAGGAGTGTCATTGGCCTGGCCACCCACCATTGGTTCCTAGTTAGCCCATCCTTCATTTTACTCCTTGTCTTGATGTGATTTTCCCGTTTGCAACTTTCGCCTCACGCTCATCTCTTTTTCAGGCTGGCATGAGGGACATGCATCTGACTGCTTTTCTTTCTACCCAAGAGAAGCATCTAAAGTCTCTCAGGGAGACTCTCGAAGCAACGTTGTTGAAGCTTGAGTTGACCGCCGCCGAGTCCTCCATCAACAATGCCGACACAATCCAAAATTGGATTTGCGCAAATAGAAGTGAGGAGGAGGTCATGCAACTAACTAGTGATTTTGAGTGGCTGTGAGACATGATTGCCAGGAGGGATGCTGACATTGCAGGTCTTCAGTCTGAGGTCTACCGGTTGAACAATAATGTGGTTGCTTTGGAGAATACACAGACATTGCAGGCTGATATGCTAACATGTTGCAATATTCTTGGTACGCTTCAAAATGTCAAAGAACTTAGACCGGAATGTTGGGATGAGGAGACTATCCTGGAGACCTATCAGTGGTCTTTGGTGGAGGCTAGGTTTGAGGGCATAAAGACCTATACTCTCGAGGCTGTTGAGGATACTCTATCTTCCTTCCTTCGGAGGATCGCCCGTACTATTGTTTTATCTAGGTAATGTGGTCCTCCGGGTCCTTGGTTCCTTCGTAAGTCCTTGTAGTCGGGTACCCAAACTTCTTTGGTACTTTGGTGTTTGAGATTTTTTCAGAGAATGGCGAATCGTATGTTGTAGGAATCCCCCATGTCTTAGACGACTCATTGGGCTAGGCTGAGGCACCTGGGATAAGCGAGCGTCGATGCTAGCCATGTGCTCAGCCATTATTTGAGTGATGAGCTGGTCCAAATTTGTTGGTTTGGCGGCTTTTTCTGCTGTGCAATCTCCATTGGTTTGAACTCCATTTTTTTCATGTGAGCGGAATTGTCATCTTACATCGCTCTATTCGTCGGCTGTCAGGGAAGGGAGTTACGTTAAGAATGGGGTACGTCTCTCTGGTCCTGGACGCACAGAGCATTTTGCCCTAAGGAGATCATGGGCCCGTCCCCATCTAGGGGCCTTGCTGCCGGTTGGCTGCTAGGTGTTACATATGCCAGGCGAACTTACAGTTTTAACATCCTGTTTTGCTCGTTGATGTGTATGAGCTCAACCGAGAGCCGGTACACGTCTTGGATGTCCAACATGTGTTAGAAGGTCATTGCCGGGGCCAACGGCGAGACCAAGCCTCGTATTTGCGAGAGAAAATCCATTGGCTTGACCTCTCGGCGGACTGGGCGGTGCACTATCTTCGTTTGACATCTTAGTTAGTTCTTCACATATCTTTCTAGCGCTAATTGTACGAGGGTAATTAACAGATACTTACGTGGATCAATTTATCAGCTAGTATGTGTGATACACAGGTTTTAACTCACTCCTCAGAATACATCAAATCAACCTCTTGAGCATTCAGACACCGAATGCTGGTTCTCCAATAAACTACCATACTGTAGAATTTTTCTTTCTATAGACCATGAATCATCCATTCCAAGAATACCAGCATTAACATTCTTCACCTCATTGTGATCATTCTCAGAAGCTTGTTGACCACCAATCAGTAAGACATTCTAACATAAGTAATCTGCAAGGTTTGCAATGAAATTTCTCTTACGCTTCATACACATGTGATTCATTCTGGCATACCTCTGTTTTCAACACAAAAGTATGACCACCTTCCATAGTACCCACTACCCGACAATGGTGCTATATATCTCATGAGATCCGAGACGCTATAGGCATCTTCTTGATTAAATTCATTATCATGATTGCCCGTCATATTGTATTCCTCTTGAGCCTCTTCATTCATAACTGCGTCATCATCATGGCTATCCTTCTCCATCGTGTCATCATGGTGATTGACACAATCGCATGTATTTTGAGTCGAAACCACAAATTTCACAAAACTTCTAAGTCGTTAGTATCTGAATTTTAGGATCGTGTTGACACGGTAATAAATGATCCATATACCAGTTAATTTTAAAATTTATAATTTAATCGCGTTCACTGCTTCTATATTGAAAAGTACTTCGATAACCTGATCCATGCGCTTTTCTATATATCCAATGATGTTTTGAGCACCTGATCCATGCGCTTTCTTATGTATCGAAAATGATATCTTGAATAAAATACTGAAGTAAAATCTTCGAATTTTAATGATTGAACCTAGAATAAAATGAATTTGAGAATGAACTCATCTGTATCATTTGATGCTGTTTCAAAACCGTTTGCATAAATTCCTCCAAATGAAATACAAATTGCAATCTGTTTTGTTACACCGGGAGAGATACAATAATTGCCCGGATGTTCTAGCTAGATCCAGCTTAAGGCATGTGTCAATGGTCTAAAAGTACAGATCCTATCTGTTTTCTAAAAAAAAAATTATTAATTTAGAACCCAAAATTTATAACTTTGTAAAATAGTAGAGTAAAAACAAGTAGATATTTTAAAAATAGCACAAGGCCCAAAAAAAATTTGATCCATTTTGAACCGGGCGTGATTCTAGCTTTGATGGATTAAAGGACACCCAACAACGAGAATTGGTTAACGCGGACCTGCTCAAACATAAATGGCGCAATGATTGTCATCAAAACGAGGGTTTGTTGTTTTTTTGCTATTTTGTATTATTGAAAAAAAATTGATTAATGAATAGTTTGTTGGGCCATACTTCCAAAATATATGGGCCCAGAAGAAAATTAATAAATAAACGTTTCTAGGTTTAGCTCTGGTGAACATTTGGTGCTTAAGTTAAGTTGTTTGTCGCTAGCGCAGACATTGTTTAAAAGCTTTGTGGATTTTTAGGGTTTCATCGATCCAACAATGGTTTTGTTCCTCCATCTCTGAAATCTTATCTTCCTGATTACATATTCTATCATTACATTTTAGACTGTTAAACCATGGGAAAATTTGTAGGCGGATATCGAACCAGAGTTTGCTGCTGCGGCTGGAATTGTGAAAAAGAGAACGTTCAAGAAGTTTTCTTTCAGAGGAGTCGATCTCGATGCTCTTCTCGACATGTCTACCGATGACCTTGTGAAGCTCTTCAGGTCTCGTGTTCGTAGAAGGTATTCGATTCTTTGAACCACAAAAAAGTTTTGTCTCGATTTTGTAGATCTGTCACTTGGTTATTAGAATGATTTGTTTTTTTGTTATTTTAAATTCTCTTTATAGGTTCTCTAGAGGACTGACAAGGACGCCTATGGCTTTGATCAAGAAATTGCGCAAAGCGGTAAAACCATCATCTGATTTTAGGAAATTCTTCTTCAAATTGCATCTTTTTCTGGCTTTTATGATTGATTGCTGAATTGGGTTTATATGATGGCTAATATGATCAATCATTCTCTGTATTAACTAAAGATTCTCAACTTGAATCTATACTCGTTGTATCTGTCTTTAAACTACTCAATTCTTGAGTGTCTGATATGCCATTTCACTATTATCGTGATAATTTTGATTATATTTGTGTTTTGTATTTTCATCACTATGCATACACATACATTTTGTGTTCAATCCTTTTGCCCATATGCCTCTAAACACTAGTCTTTAAATTACTTAAAGTCTCTTTGTGTGCGACTTTAACGCCGCCTCTATATATATTCATATATACATCTCTAGGCTTATATATGTTCATGGTTCTGTAATACACAATCTTGTGCTTTAATCTGACGATCAAATGGCTTAATCACTAAAAAATTGTTACCTTTCTCATGTTTTGAGCAGAAAAGAGATGCGCCAGCTGGTGAGAAGCCAGAACCAGTGAGAACCCACTTGAGGAACATGATCATTGTGCCCGAAATGATCGGGAGCATCATCGGAGTGTACAACGGGAAGACTTTTAACCAAGTCGAGATCAAACCGGAGATGATTGGGCATTACTTGGCTGAGTTCTCAATCTCATACAAACCGGTTAAGCACGGTAGGCCTGGTGTTGGTGCTACCAACTCCTCCAGGTTTATTCCTCTCAAGTGAATAAACTCTTATTCAGAGTCTTCTGTTATGATGCTCCAACTCCAAAAGAGTCTTTCCTTTTGTTTTTTAAAACATTTTCTTTGTTTTCTTTCTCTGTTTCGATTCTCCCTGCTTTAGATGTTGACTAAACTCTTGTTCATGCGTTTAAATAATATCTTTGAATATTTTTTTTCATTTAAGATTTATTCCTAATATTATAAATTTCAAATATTTTTCTTTTAACGTGTAAACTAGATATCTTAATGTTTTTCTTTTTTTCAAGGTTTCACACTTTTAAAAGAATTAATGTAGAAGATATAGTTTCATCTGATAAACAAAATATCCTTTGAATATTCATTGATCATATTTTTTTCATAAAAAATGCTGAGTTGTTTCTCGTTTCAAATCATCAAATAAAATTAGTTTGTATAAAGAAATTACATATTTACAAAAATAACTTTAATATATAAAAAAATAATCTTGTAAAAAAAATAAAGTCAAAATCAGTTTTTAAATTATAAAATAGTAATTATTACAAAGAAAATTAAATATCTACAAAAATAAATTTAATTTGCATAAAAGTATTATCTTATACATATTACTTTCTACATGTATATAATTTTGCCAAAATATTAAAATATTTTTATATACATTTCTTTATCTACTATTTACATTTTAGAATGGTATATTCTTCAAGCTCATGAGCAAGTACAACGACCTAACTGAATGAGATTCATTAAAAGAACAAGAATCTAGGTTTGTTCAGATTTATCATATAAAATTAGAAATCTCAAATCTGTCGGTGGTTGATGTAGTGTTGCTTTGTTTTCAAAAAGGGAATAGAATCATAAACTACATAGCACCTTATCTTGTTTTGGATAACATAATAATATTTCACCAGTGCATAGTTCTCAGACATTGTAAATACTACTTGCTCATTTTCTTTCATTCACTTGTTCTCCGTCTTTTTATCGTTTTACCACTTAATTAGTTTCGAATTTGCTATACGCTCTTTCACCTAGAAAATTCAGTACATGTTTTTAGGTAACTTCAAAGATTATAACAAGCAAATGGAATTTAGTAAACATTTTTAATTTGTTTTTTTCTTTGATTATGGATGTCGTTATCTTTACATGATTTCAATGCGTTATTTTAAGTTACATGATTTCAATTTGGACAAGGCACAATACCGAATTACATAAAGATTACTAAACCACTAAACTACATGTCTGTTCACGAGCATTTACAAGATGATGTGTCATTCGTTCCGGTGAATGAGTTATGTAGCATTGGTATCCGAGAAAACTAAAATCATCGAGACCGGACAGGACATTGTGCGAAGGATTAGTGAGTTCAGTCAAGTGAAAAATTCATATGGATGGGAGGCTGAAACTACCGTTGAGTAATGACTGGGAAATAGTCGAAGGATGGTTGGGATGGACTGGGTCGGATGGATCATATCCGAGAAAAAAATGGTTTAATCCAAGGCTTTTGAGAAAATAGCCAAGGCAGTTTGGTTTTATCCGAGGGAAAATGAGAAATAACTGGATAAAAAGAAAATGGCTCGAGCGATTGTAGTTTAGTCCGAGAGAAAAAGGAAATAGCCGATGAAAAATGGGATGGGCTCGCGGGCTTTTCAATTAAACCGAGGGAATGGGGTTTTTCCTGGTTGGTATAGGATTTTCTCGACTAAGCGTGAATAATTAGGGTTTGGCTCGGGTTAAAAGGAGCAAACTAATTAATTCTTCAGGAGCCGCCTATAAGTTAAGGGTTTACCGTGAGAGAGAAGTTTTAGTCGAGAGAGATCTGAAAATGCCCGAGCAAATTGTGAGTTATCCGAGAGCACTTCAGATTGTCCGTGAGAATCTGAAAACGCCCGAGCGAATTGTGAGTTATCCGAGAGCACTTCAGATTGTTCAGATATTTTTATTAGTGCCGAGTTTCGTCGGATAACGTCGGACTAATCGATGTGTTTTGTGGTGTTTCTGAGGGAATACATAGTTTGGTCCGAAGAAAAATGAACGGATCAGGAGATAGCCGAGAGGAGGGAGTTTCTGTCGGAGCGATAGCCGAGGAGCCCCGAGTGTGTCGGCTATCTTCGTTTCTGAGCGAGTTTCACCGATTTTTCTTCCGACTAATCTGTTTCTAAGCGTGTCTAAGTTGAGTGCGTGACTGTGGCTTGTGTCTAGGATCATAGGATTGCTAGGGTTTGATGTTTTACATGATTGATTGTGTGAGTTTCATGTTTGTGCTTAGCAAGTGTTAAACGATTATATGATATACGATTGTGAGGTGTTTATTGTGGCTAAGAGTGATGTCTAACTAACTTGATAGAAATCCGGATCATGCTCTAGCTTAGGGGATGTGCGATTCTCGCTGAAGTAGAGATGAGTCTTAAAAAGGGATTGTCCGTAGGTTAGGGTAGATGATCAGGACCGTTTGATATGTGCTTCTTGCTAACTGATTATGTGAATGTTGAATTCCGAAAGTATGATTGCGTGACTAGTACTGGCTAAGGTGTTATAGGATGACCGTATTCACTAAGTATATATGATAATACTTATGCCTCTCTATCTTTTGAGTATGCTGACACAATGCTTTTTATGCCTTGTAGTGCAACCTCAATTGCACTAGGTGTAGTATAGTGGCAATGAGTAATTAATCCAAACAAGGGGAAATTAAAGAATATGCAACCATCTTGAAGAGCTAGGCAAAAAGGGTTTTACAATCAATCACGCTCAAGTAAGCAAGAATGTAATCAAGTAACCAAGTGACAAAAAGCAAAACAGAACAATTCTAAATGCAACAAAACAGAGCGAAACAAAGCAATACTAATCAGGATTCGAAATATAATTAAAGGCTAGGATCAAGACTAAGGTAATATGATCTAGGTGGTTCAAATCATGACTAGGATGCAAAACAAACAATCAATGTCTAATCTCTAAGTAAGACCACTAATAAAAATTAATCTAATTCCTTAGCAATGATCTCTTTACTAGCTATACTCCTAACTCACTTTCAATGGTGGAAATACAACTAATAAGCATTAACAACAAGGTCCTTAAAAGCATAATAAGCATCTTAGAACTGCTAAACTTACGTATCTCTCAAGCAATGCATCAAATACTAACTCACACTCCTATGCATAATCAGTATTTAAAATCAGTTCTCTTTCGCTTGAGTACTAAATCATTAAGAACAAGTGAGCAAGAAATGATAGATGCAAAGACTCATGACTATCAAAACACCATTTTCATGCAACAAACTTCATTCAAGCATTTTAACAAACATCTTACATGCAAGTCAAACACGCATAACATCTTTTTCTCAATCAAGGATGTACTAAACATTAAACAAAATCACAAGAGAAGAGATTAACAAAGATCTAACAACTTAGCACCCTAATCAATCATTAAACCACCCTAATCAACCTTAATCTCAAGCCTAAAAGTGGACTACTCACTAAACATGTTTAGATCCTCAAGGTTAGATGAAGGTAAAAGACAAGATATGGAAAGAAAATAACAATACTTAAGCAAATAAACCTCAAGATCAATGATCTCATGGCAAGTTCTTACAAAGGAAGGTTTTTGGTGAAAAAGCTTAAACAAGATAAGGATAAGATAAAAACTGGATAGAGGCATTTTTAGACTTAGGCTATTTATAGGGAAACCCCCAAAATAGACCTAATTAACTAAAAATAAACAAAGTCAATCAGTTAACAGAAGGTCAACATTCTGAAAATAGCCGAAACCGAGGAAGGCGAGTGCTTGTACTCCTCGGTGCAGTACGTCGATACATGACGAAAAGGCAGCGTCTGGAACTTGGCTCAGGTGAGGGCTCGATCTTGGGACGCACCGTGGAAGATGTCTGATAGCTCTCCTCGGTGCAGTACATCGCTATGTTTTGAAGCTCCTAATATCGGGCAAACTCATCGGTGTACGACTGCCTCTTTGTCGATATGAATCACCTCCGATGAAACTCCTCATTGTACGGACACACCTTACTCGGTGCAGATCGTACCATGGAAGAACAAGGTTGTTCTTCATGGTACACTTGGCCAGTGTGAATACTTCATCGCCTAGAATTGTTTCTCCTTGCTGAACCTCCTTCCTTTGCTTGGTCCATCCTCTTGCCAAGTGCCTCTTTAGCTCTATAAGGACCTGAAAACACTCTCAAAATGCATGCAAAATTCAATCCTAAGTTATATGCATACTATGCATGAAATAGATGAAAATGAGACACTTTTGGACTAAGAAGGATGAAATATCATGCAAAATCTATATTGTATGACTACTAATATTATGGAATAATGCATGCTATCAGCACCCCCACACTTAGCCCTTTGCTTGCCCTCAAACAAACAAAAGAAACAAAGTGAGAGTAAAGTTTCAAAGTGGGAACTCATATCCAAAAATGATGTTATTTTCAATCAAACCAATGTCCATGTTAACAATTCTAAGATGCACTTGATGGAAATTTACTCTAAGAACCTAGCCACACTCATCACAAAATGGAAACGATTCTCAAGTTATCAATCTACACAAGCTATCAAATCACTCAACCTTTTTAACATTCATTAAGCTTCAAACAAGTGAATCATGCTTATGCAAATGCAAGTGTCATCATTTGGCTACAAGGAGAAAGTTATGAGATGAATATGATCCCATTATTTTCGAAGTGGCTAAGTGTTTAAAGAAGAGTTCTCTCAAGAAAAGGTGATTTAGCTATGGTAAAGAACAATTTATGCATACAAGAGAAGACTTCCATCTACCTAAGCTCCATAAGTGAATCATAAACTCTAACTTTTTACCCAACACTTCTTCCTATGCTACCCTTTTTGAACTTTGAAACCCAAAACAATTCCACTTCTTTCTTCTTTTAAGCGCTTAGGAGGCGATTTTTTGTTTGTTTTAACTCTTTGGTGGTTGGCGCCTTTTGTTGCTTGGCTCTTCTCTTCGATGTTGCTTGTACTTCTCATCTTTTGGATGCTTAGACTTTGAATTGCATCTTTTCTTCTTTGTATTTGCTTGAGCTGCCATTTGAATTTCACCAAACCATTTCCAAGATTTCTTGCTTTGCACTCCTTCTTGTTGCCTTGCTTTCTTTCCCATTTTTCCCTTTTGTAAAACCCAAAACCGAAAATCCCAAACCCATCTCTTTAATAACCAAAACATCCTAGACTATCTAGCCAAGAGGGTGAGTTAGTTCTACAATGAAAGAGATCCCTTGTAGTTCCTAACCCAACACTTTTTACTTAGCCCAATCACAAAGATGAGGCCTCACAAACACTCAATGAAATTTTTGGCTTGAAAGGAGGTTAAGGTTAATGGTGGGGAAAAACTATTTG